AGTTCCTTTTTTTGGTTTAACCAATGATATTAATAGATTAAGGAACTTATATAAGGTATCCCCAAAAAAGAACTACAATGGAGACTATACGTAGGCTGTAAGGGTTACCGGTATCGCAGGGAAGACAGAGGGACTCCAAGCCTTCAGGCCCTGAGCTCTGAAACCTAAACACAAAAGTCCTAAACCCTAACCCTAAATCCTAAATCCTAGACCCTAAACCCTAAACCCTAACCCTAAACCCTAAATCCTAAACCCTAACTCTAAATCCTGAAACAGAGAAGGGAAAAGGCAAAAGGCGAGCTGAACTGAAGCTGTAGTGCGAACACGAACCGAGAGACCTCGTCTGGCTGCGTTCGAGTTGCGACAGCGTAAACTCTAAGCGCTAACTTCTGAATCCTATAGCTGAGCCCAAACTCTAGCCCCCTACACCCTAAGCATAAAACCCTTATGAGACTTTTCCCAGGACCGATTCACCGTAATTGCCTGCCGGGCACTGCTTTACGTTTGCAGCCTGGGGCAGCTTTTCGCCAAGCATGCATTCCAGACATACAGAGCCGTTCGCCAGAAGGAAATGATGAGATTTTGCTGCATGCCGGTGCCCAAGTATGTGCTGCGCACGCGGCAGGAGTTAGTCGAAGTCCTTCTACTGCTCCTCCTGATCTGCCTGCTGTGCATTGAGCCAGCACTCCACTGTCTTGCCGTCAGTAGCGAGCTCCTCATCGACTGCTGCGAGTACGGCGAGTGGCAATGCAACCTCATGCACACCTACAACCGCCTCGCTGCCTTCCCGATGGTGCTCTACTTTATACTTGCCTCTGAGTTGGTACACCTCAACGTTCACCTCTCCGTCTTCAGCGTGATTTGTTCGAGCCTCATGTGGGAGTTCCTCTTGTATGTGGCAGTCCTGATTTTCTTTACGGCGGCTTTTGCTTCGGCAGTTGCTTGCTTGCCGCAGTCCATGGGCTCGGATTCTGTTCAGATGAGGGACTTCTTCAGCTGGCCTCTTGCCTTTGAGTCCTTGTTGTCCATGGCTTTCAACACCTATGGCAGTGACAACTACGAGCAGATTGCGCAGGAAGACGAACCGATGTTGAAGTGGTTCGTCATGGGCTTCGCTGCTTGCTGGCACGTGTACCTGATGAATTTGATGGTCGCCCAGCTGTGCCAGCGCTACAACGAGATATTCCACGATGCACGCGGCAATGCCCGGCTCACACGCGGCATCAACATCTACGAGACGTCAATGCCACTGATTTCCAAGCAGCTCACTTCCTACAATACACAATCAGCTTTGGGTGTTTTGGGTTCCGGTCTGTTGGTATTGCTGATTATGACAAGTTTTTCTTGTTAGTATGGCTACAATCTAAAAGTCTAGACCCCTCTACCGCCTTAGACCCGAAACCCTAAATCCCTAGAACCGAAAACGCCCTAATGTAGGGGCCTAAATAATTAGCAATACTAGTTTGGGGTCTCCTTACTAGAATTTCTGGTATAATGGGCCCCGAAACCCTATTCTAATTCTTAAGGCCCCTATATTGCCCGAAACGCCTAAAGCCACTACAGAGCTTGTTTGGTTTGGCCCTAAACACGGTTTAGGGTTTAGGGTTTAGGGTTTAACCCTAAACCCTAAACCCTGAACCCTAAACCCTAAACCCTAAACCCCTAAGCTAAACCGGGCAGGAAGCGGTGGACTGGCTTTGTCGAGTCCTTGCGTTTGGAGGCGGGCCCGGCTTTAGGGTTTAGGGTTTACCTTAAGAACCCAGAACCTACTTTTTTGTAGGGTCCCTATAAATCCCATATTAGGGTTTATAATAAGACCCTACGAAAAAGTGGGTTTTGGGTTCTTGAGGTACGGTTTAGTGGCATATGATATAAATTTGGCTTTGGGGTGTAGGGTTTAGGGTAGAGCTCAGGGTGCAGGGAGGGATTGTAGATGTTGTCGTTGGGGTTCGGTTTTCATGGGGTTTTTAGAGAGTTGTTCACAGGATTTGTTACTCGTCCCTTCATAGTTTTTATATGGCCATCGGAACCCTCGAAGATGCCTCTGGAACCCTGAACCCATTAGCTGTTCTGAGGGGCTGTGTTGCCGGAATCCGTGCCTGCTTGTGCGAGCGTGCGAGTCGAAACCCGAAACCCCGATTCACCTACCAACCCTGATTCCTTAGACCCTGCAACCCTCTAGACCTATAATTCTGAGAATGAAACCCTGTAAGCCTTATAAGCCCTATACAAACCCTGAACCCTAAACCCAGCTTTGGCCAACGTGTTGTCGTTGTACTTGGAACCTCGCCAGGCTTGTCCCAGTTGTGAGTGCTGAAACCCTAAACCCTGAACCCTAGACCCTAAACCCTACCGGGACCCCAAAGAACCTACCTTTTTAGGGTTCCTGATTATGATTTCGTTCTATAAGTCCTTAAAAACGTAGGTTACTTGGGGTTAAGGTCGACCCTAAACCCTTAACCCCCGGTTACTTCCTTAAGAGGAGAGGGGTTTAGGGTTTAGGGTTTAGGGCCCTAAGCCCTAAACCCTACACCCTAAACCTATAAACCCTAAACCCTTAACCCCCGGTTAATTCCATAAGAGGAGAACCCCCTGTCACCAAAACCCGAAATCCTAAACCCTAAACCCTAAACCCCTAAACCCTAAACCCCAAACCCTAAACCTAAACCCTAAACCCTTAACCCCCGGTTAATTCCATAAGAGGAGAACCCCCTGTCTTCTAAACCCTAAACCCTAAACCCCTAAACCCTAAACCCTAAAACCCTAAAACCTCAAACCCTAAACCCTTAACCCCTAAACCCTAGACCCTATACCCCCTGTCTCCTAGGAGGCCTGCGAGCTGGACGAGGGCGACAACGGACCGCGTGGTGCGGTGCCCACCACGGAGGATCCCTACGAATCTGGGTTCCTTCAAGGGTTCTACCTTGAGAACCCCAAACCTGCTTTTTTGTAGGGTCCCCATAAATCCCATATTAGGGCGGGTTTATAATCAGAACCTACAAGAAAGTCGGTTTTGGGTTCTTAAGGTAAATCTTTAGTTCTAAACCTTTCAGGGCTCCAAACCCTAGATTCTAAGCCTGTGGTGTTGTGCGCTTCTGGAGTGTTTCTTTTTTTCGTTTGTTGTTTTGCGAAACCTGGGTTCTGGCCCAGAGCCCGGTTTTTCGGGCTTATTAGGGTAGCATTCTTGCATTTCGGGATCTAGTTTCCTTTTTGGAACCAGTACAGAAACCTGTTTCTTTTTTTGGGGGGGAATTAGTTTCCTATTTGGAACCGGTACAGAAGCAGTTCTATTGATTGAAAGTTGGGCCCTAAACCCGTAAACCTCAACCCTAAACTGGGCCCTAAACACTTCGCTCCTTGGCCGTTCCGAAGCCGAGGACTACTTGCAATACCCCAAAGTAACGCTGGACCGTGTTCAGCGATACCTGGTCAAGATTAGGACCTAGGGGGTTTAACGCTTTAGGGTTTAGGGCTGGTTGCGCAGGCGCTGGCCGGCACCTCAGTCCGTGCTCAAAAAGGGCCGTTTTGTTTTTTGTGGCTTTAGGGTTTAGGGTTTAGGGACTTAGGATGCCGAAAATCCTTTGGTTCCGAACAGTGACCCAGGATATGGAGGACTTGCAAATCCCGAGCTACCCTGGCCTTCGCTTGAGGAGGCCATCGATGACAGTGCGGTCGGCAAGTTGACGCGGATGACGCAAGCCAAGTTTGAGGAAATGGACCGGCTGATGCTGGGCTCTTCTTAAGGACTTAAGCCACCATACAGTAGAAGCCCAAAAGTTGCAAACCCAATAGCCTCAATCCTTAAGAGCAATGCATAGGGAATCCCAGCACTATTTGTCCTTTATTCGGTTTCCAACTTTTAGGGTTTACTATATTGTTAGATGCGAATATGGCAGTTGCACCAAAGCTCCTTAGCACCCGGTAGTTAAACAGAAGAGCTGTCTCCTGAGAACCCACGAGCTATTTGGTAGCTCTAGCAGCTAAAGCCACAACGTGGTGCCGAGGATCGTGGACATGGCCCTAAACCCTACCCTAAGAACCCAAAACCCACTTTTTTGTAGGTTCTTATTATACACACTAATATGGGATTTATAGGGACCCTACCAAAAAGTAGGTTTTTGGGCTCTTAAGGTAAACCCTAAACCCAAGATGGCGCCAAGGATGGTGGACATGGCCATCAAGCTTCAGGTGCGCCCTCCAGGCACCGCCGGTGGCACCAACACCTTCGCAGCAAGCCATGCCTCCCAACAGTCGCAGCCTTGGCGTTCTGTGAGGGTGTACTTGGAGGTTCATGGCTAGTTATAAGTATGGTTATAAGTCCCCTAATATGGGTTATAGCTTCAGTTACCTTACTTATAACCTCACTTTTAACTACCCATGAACCTCCAAGTACAGCCGGCGCGAGAGTTGGAGTGTCGGGGTTGTTTTGTTTGTTTACGGCTCTTTCACCTCGGAAAGAGCACTGAGGTCACAGCAACGTGATGAAAGCAAGCAGGTGGGGGCTGCAGAGTGTATAAATACATATTCAGTCAACACACGCACATATATGTATATATGTTATGTATATATATATATATATACAGATTTATGTGTATACATATATATATATATACATTCCTCTCTCTACCGGTTCTTCAAGGTAGGAGGGTCCTCAGTTTCAGGGACCTCCTGCTTCGGGGGTTTACCAAGCCCTAAACCCTTAACCCGTAGAAGATTTCTTGTGACATGAGTCCTCAGTGTTCCGCTTCATAGCTGTGATACCTTGTAGTACATGTTATCCCAAGCCCTATTCTAAGTATACCCAATTATTACATAGCATAGGGGCTGTAAGTTCTAATTATTGAGGCTCGGAATGAAGCCCGTATCTCTAAAGCAATACTGGATAAAACCCCTAAGCCCTTAACCACTGGCCGGAGGCTGATCACGACCAAGATCATGACGCATTGAAGGAGTCGACCGAGGACGTTGCAGACGAATTAGGCGGGGAGTCAGAAAATCTAAGGTCCCTGGCGGGAGTCTCCTTACCCCTCAACCCTAAACCTTATAAGAAAGATCGCGATAAGTATCCTACTGGTCAGGGTTAGAGCCTCTTGGGGTTTGGGGTTCAGGTTGGGGCATCCTTACAAGAACAGTATCAACAACAAGCATGAAGTAAGAATAATATTAGAAGCAGCAGCAACAACAACAATAATCAGAATAAGTATAACGATTGTACAGATGATTCGATTTTTCATCATGATCGTAGAAATAAGTAAGAACAAGAACCGGGATCATCGCATACAATGCAAGATTTATCGTGCAGGGGTTGGGGTTACTTATCCTTCAAGGGATCCTACCACTTACGGTCGTTTGCCGGATCTCCCAGGTTTGAATGAGAGGACCGCCAACGAGCTTCTGGAGGAGCGCACGGAGGAGCCTCAGTAGCAGAGTATGTGAACCTTTTCGTTGTTTACATACGTAATGACATAAACGATAACAGAATAACATGCAACCATACATACACATTACATATATATATATATA